AGTATGTGGTAAACTGTACCAACTGATAGACAAACATAGAATACCACCACTGTGCTTTGAAAGTCCATGTATTAAACATTCCCAGAGTTGGTCATGGAACTAAAAGTTAATTGTTTGTGCATTCTTTCCAAAAATGGTAGTGGCTTTCTTCATTCCCATTAGTTGCAAGGAATCTCGAGTGAGGAAAAACATGAAAAGACACTTAAACAATGGGCCTTTTTGTGGAGTTGAGATTGCACCCAGAGCCTTGCATATGCTAAACAGACATCCCACATGCCTATCCTCAATAGGATGCATGATACATTTCAAGAATAAGTACCTTGGAACTCAGGAACCACCTCACAGTTTGATCTCCTACCCGAGACTTCCAGCCGCAGCTTTGGGAAGGGTGGAATTGGATGGAGCAGGAAGTGGTGGAGCTTTCTCTCTCAGCTCTGCCGTGAATGTGACTCTCTACCCATCGCTCTCCATCTTGGCTTTGCTTATGTAAAGTTTATGTTCCCTCAGACAATTCAGTTTGAACCTTTGAGGTTTCTTTTAACGTGACAACCCTCGGCTCTTGTCATCTCCTGTCTCTGATTGCCAAGGGACTCTTAGTGGGCCAGCTTGCTCTTTCATCATATACCCTGATCCATGCCACCATGCAGTGTAGAGCGTGCCCGTTTGGGTCGAGATCCCACCCTGGCCCTCTTAGTTAGCAGGTTCATGTGGAGTGAAAAAGCAGTTGTGAGTGGTTTTCATAGAAGTGACACAGGGTAGCAGTGGACATTGATCTTGTGTCCTGTGTTCTTTGTGTCCGTGACAGTTATCATTCATTCATTGTAATGAGATGCTTTTCATAAAAGTAAATCACCTCTCCACATACCCTTCTTGAAACACATGGCTATACAATAAACCCTGCCCAATTTCTCTTTTCAACTTTAATTTTTATTTTTTAAGTATAGGAGTGTTTTGCCTGCATGTATGTATGTACACCACGTGAGTGCCTGGTGTCCTTAGAGGCCAGAAGAGGATTGTTGGGTTCACTGGCATTGGAATTACACATCGTCATGAGCCACTATGTGGGTGCTGGGAATTGAACCTAGGTCCTCTGCAAGAACAGCCAGTGCTCTTAACTGCTAAACTATCTCTCCAGCCCTGTGCCCAATTTTTCAAATGCACTCACTGTATCTTCTAAAAGTTTATCCAATTGAGCTGGGTGGTGGTAGCACACGCCTTTAATCCCAGGACTTGGGAGGCAGAGCCAGGCGGATCTCTGTGAGTTCAAGGCCAGCCTAGTCTACAGAGAGAGATCCAGGACAGGCACCAAAACAACACAGAGAAACCTTGTCTCGAAAATCCCCCGCCCCCCCAAAAAAAGTTAATCCAATTGAGATAAACTTTTTTTCTTATTTTCATTTGTAAGGATAAACTTTTTCCAGAATTCTCCAAAAAAACGTATTATGGAAACTAAGGGGAGAATATCTGTCGTTTGATGAGACTGGCGGGCTGCCCACTGTGCTCAGAAGGCAACAGTATCACTCATTTTAAAAATGGCAAGAGACTATGGCCACACCACCCTGCATACACATGATTTTGCCTGCTCTCAGAAGCTCGGCAGGGTCGGGCCTGTGAGTACTTGGATGAGAAAAATGATGCACGAGTTACATATTATTTACTTAAAGAGTGGCAAGTGATGGCTACGGTCCAAGACAGCAAGCAACTCTTAGCTCTCCCGGCTGAATTATCTGGAAGCATTTTCAAACAAAGCAGCTTGCCAAATTGAAAACTCCCATTAAATAGAATTCTGAATGAACTACTGTTTGAAACCTTTAGTGATAACATGAAATTCCTCCATTTAGTAGAATAAGATAATCAGTTGAAGTTCTGTGGCACATCAGGCCGGACTCTGAGGGCCATTCACTGAAGCTTGTGCCCATTAAATGGCGAGGGACACAGACTGACCCGGATCCAGACGGCCGAGTGTGTGTGCATTTGTGGGACCAGACGCACAACTTGAACACCTCATACACCAAAGGCTTCTGTTCTGGTGGTCTTCCTGTCTGTGTCACATTCCTGAGGTGGCAGGAGCTGAGTGCTGTGGGACTTCTGCGTTTCCTCACATGCGCACCTCCTGCTTCCAGTCCATCTGTGCCACTGGAAAGAGCTGGTGCTGCAGGAGCTTAGAAGGAAGACTCTGCAGCCTCATACCTTCTCTAGAGTCAGTATGGATGATTCGGGTCTCTGCTACACGGTCTCAACATCTTGGCTTCTCCTGTGGCCAAGGACAGACTAGGCCGGGCAGGACCAGCAACCGCAGGCTGAGGTCTGTGGGCTGCAGGCACACAGTGTATGGGAAGAGAATGCCGTACCTACAGCTCTTTGTGGGTGGGGAGCTTTCCATCAGAGCTGGGGTTTAGTTGACAGTAAAGCAGTTTGCATGAGGGCCTCCTAAATGATGTTCAAGGAGAACTGTTTACTTACATGTAGTTTATTAAACATTTGCTATAGTTCAGTATATCTGCAAAGATCTGCTGGGCCTCCCGTCAGCCTTGGAAAGAAGCTAGCATTTATCCCTGGTATAAACTGGAGGCAACTAAAGCTTAGAGAGGCTTAACTAATTACACTAAAATACGCCTTATGCAGCCTAGAACCCGTCTTACTCTTTGGATCTTGTGTGCCTCCTTTGGTTTTCTAACAAGACAGGACAACTCAGGTCTTAATCAACAAATGACTGAACCGACACTAGTAGTAACGACTTCATAATTCCCCCAGTTCAGTCCTGAAGGTGTGCGGCTTCGCCTTCTGCCCGTCAACTGTGGCTGTACAGCCCAGGCTCAGTAAATGAACAAATCAATGAGTGGATTTCTAGCCTTCCTCTCCATCTCCTCTGTTGTCCGTCCTCTGAATCTACTCTTTATTTTCCCGTCTGTACTATAAAAACAAAACAGAACTGTGATGAACTCTGATGCTTGAAGGTCCTCTGTGACTTCCCAGGGAAGCTGGAGAGAGCCTGCTGTCTGATTGTTGGTTGGTTTTTGAGATAGTCTTGCTTAGCCAGGGCTGGCTTCAATTTCATGTGTAACTGAGGATGACCTTGAACCTTTGATCCCCCTGTCTCTACTCTGAGTTCTAGGATGGATGATAGCAATGTCCTGTCTGTCGATCCTCTTTCTGTGGTGCTTGATACGGAACCCAGAGCCTCAGGCGTTCTGTAGAGCACTCTGTGACAGCTAAGGCCCCAGTAGCTGATGCTCGTGATTTAAAGGCAAGGGATGTAGAGTGTGAAGGGCATCTCTACCATTCACAGTGGCTCTGCACATGTGCAAGCCTGTTCTAATCTGCACAGGTACTCCCGTCTGCAGGTGAAGAAACACTCAAGAAGGAAACAGCTACCCAGAGGTCTGCTCTCAAAAGTAAAACTGCCGACCTGTGAACTACTCATATTTTCACAGGTACCCAGTTTCCACTGATCTTTAAAGCAATAGAACAGTGACACCTTAAGGTTAATATTGTGTGATGAGCTGGGTTTGTGAAACATATATCAGTAACACGTTTCCTCCTAGTCATCCTGGGCAAGTTTCCAGGCTAGGGAGAAGTAAAGCACTCAGTTTCTAACCCTTGTTTTTAACTAGTTTATTATTTATAATTTTTATATTTGTTTTATATTTTTGAGACAGGGTCTCATTATGTTCCAGGCCAGCCTCAATCTCTATATAGCTGAGGATTCCCTTGAACTTCTGATCTTCCTGCTTCTGCCTCTTGAGTGCTAGGATCACAAGTGTGGCCCCGCCATAGCTGGTTCATATGGTGCTGGGGATTGGACCCAGAGCTTTGTGCACTAGTTGGCACTCTGCCAACTGAGCTACATCCCTAGACCCCTCCCACACTGAAATAAAGTTAGATTACATTTTACTTATTGGGGCGGGGGTGGGAAGATGTGTGCCACAGCGTGCAGTGGGGGTCAGAGGACAACTTGCAGGGGTGTCTCCTCTCCTTCTACCATGGGGTCCCAGGGTTTTTTGTTGTTTTGTTTTGTTTGTTTGTTTGTTTGTTTTTCGAGACAGGTTTCTCTGTGTAGCCCTGGCTGTCCAGGAACTCACTCTGTAGACCAGGCTGGCCTTAAACTCACAGAGATCTGCCTGCCTCTGCCTCCTGAGTGCTGGGATTAAAGGCGTGTGCCACTACCACCTGGCATGTCCCAGGATTTAAACTCAAGTCATCAGGCTTGTTGGCAAGTACTTTGACTTCTTACCAGCTCGACCCACATTTTTAAAAAGTGTTTTGGGGTTGCTGAGATGATACAGTGGTTAAGAGTGCTAAGAGGACCCAAGTTTGGTTTCCAGAACCTACATCTGGTGGTTTACAGCGACGGTAATTCCAGCTCCAAGGGATCTGATGTGCCCTTCTGGCCTCCTCAGGTACCTGCTGCATTCATTATACAGGCACACACAGCCACACAGTTTACTGAGAGCCAGGCCAGTCCAAGGCTTTCTCAGAGGACCTGATGAAAGAACAAAAGGAACCTAGTTCTGTGTCCTTGCCCAAGGGCAGACTTGGCAAGGTCTGGTCTGAAGCTAGGGTCAAGCCCTTGAAGGAGTTGTTTTGGTTTCTGGGAACTTGGCTCCCGTGAAGAGACTGGAGCTGTCGGTCCCAGTGCTGATGCCTCCTGGGTCTATGATGACAGACCTGTGTCCCCTTGTGCAGCACTGCTTGATCAGCTTCCTGCTGACTTCATCCCATTGTGTGGTGACTTTCTGCCGGCTCCGTCCTCCCCCTCCCCCCCAAACTACATATAACATGCTGTACTTCTTAATACATGTGTCTGGGATAAGACTTAGCTTGTACATGACCTCCCAATGCCAGCTTTTATCTTCTTTATCTTTTCATCTCCTGGGACTCCCCCTTAGGACCACTGAGGAATGACTTGCTGGTCTAGGTCAATAATTGTTTAAAAACCACCAAAATAATAAACCTTTAAAAAAAATTTTTCTTCTTTCCTCTTAAGTCCAACGTTACAATTTTTTTAAAGAAAAATGTTAAGACTTTATTGAAGATGTTTATCAGGCATTATAACCAAACAGCAGAGCTTCAGCCTTTGGAATACTGCAGTTTACATCCCTTAGAGACACAGTCCAGTATACTATTTAATTATAGCTCATTCTAGAGAGACTTCAGAAACAAACTAGAGGAAGTGTGCACAGTCACAATCCAGAACACCAGCGGCTGGGTGGACACTGTCCAAAGATGAAGCACATCTTTCGCCACTTCAAACAACACTTCCAATACTGTGCAAGGTGAAAACTGGCAAGGCTACACGACGGTTGTGTTGACAAGCACTCTTAACACAAACACATGGACAGTTTACCGTGGAGAACACACATCTCAAAGGCCAGCACAGTGAGCAAGCTATTCACACAAAGTCAGGAGAGAGTTGACTAAATCTCCAATGGACAAGCAGGAGACTTCGTCTCACGTCTTCAGAAACGGGGCCTGTGCTCCAAGGCGAGTAACTCAGAGCTGAGACAAGGGCAGACCTTCGAGCTAGCACTCTGTAAACAGCCCGTGTCTAAGTCAGCAAACTAGAGACATTCATTTATCTCACTGGACAGCACCACACCACTACACGGACAGGGACATTCACATCATATGTCAGTCCACATACAAACGCACAGCTTGTCAGGAAAGTAAACACATTTTTCAAGAAACGACAGCTGCGCTCAGCTCTATCGTGAGTGTCTTGAAGGGAGGAGACAACTCCCGAGTCAACACTTGAAGGAAAAGTAGTTACATTTACAATAAGACAATTTAGATACCTTTATATCTTAAATCTTGAACAGGAAGTAGTACAGCAGTCTGAGAGGAGAGCTTCAGACTGGGTTTTGGCATGGCTGAGCACAAGCTCGACAGCCTAGACGTGTTAGAACTTCCGCTGTAAATGGTGAAAACAACAGGGCTTAAACTCTGCTCCTAAAGCCATTTATGGGGGTGGGGGGGGAGACACTGCAAAGCTTCTTCTCTCGGGCTTCTCTGCCTCTGTTTCTCTTCCCAGATACACCCAGTCGACAGGTTTCTACATTTTACAGGGTATCATTTCGCCTGTCTGGAGCCGTCGGGTGAGCTTGAAGAGGACAGATGTTTTTCTTAACGGGTTCAGATGGGTGTGGGCCACAGGCAGACTGCTTGTCCGCCCAGTCGCCAGCTTTTGGGTTAGTTCCCTGGGGTTAGTTCTAAAATACAGAGTCACTTTTGTAGAATTTCACTAGGTGTGTCTGGCAGCAATGACTTCCCCTAGAACCCTCTGCGAAGTGGCCGAGGTCCGGCTACTGTAGCCTGGCAGGCTCCAGTGCGTGGTTGCGTAGCTCAGGAACGGAGCAGTGGGTTAACTGATCCTGTCTGCAGTTATTGGCAGTTCTGTGTGGTATACAGCACTACTTCTCTAGTCTTCAGGGCATAGCTGTGAACAAACGCAATCCAAACAGGAGTAACTGGGTTGTGACCACTGCATGCATCACATGGAAAGGAAACACCAACTCTAAGCACAAATGGACTAGCCCTACAGCTGGGCTCAGCTCTCCGAGGGGAGGGCAGCTCCCTAGACCACAATGTTATCTAAGTCAGACACTTGTCGAAGTTCTCAGTGCAGTCCTGGCTTGCATAAAACATCCACGAAGACATGGAGTGAGTATGAGTGTCAGTCCATCCCGTGCATCTTCCACAGAAGCCAGAAGGAAGCAAGAGCCACAGCTGCCTGTGGAGCTCAGCCTCAGTCCTCCCCAGATCCTGCCTTCCGGTGGTTATGTGAGGGTCTTGCGTATTTTGACACATCTGAAACAAAGCCTAGTTTTAGCCTTTTCTCTTTGCATAGTGTTGTCTAAAACAAGGCGCTCAGGTGCAGGCTCTTCCTCCTGGAGAAATCAGCCACGGCACTGGTCCCTGAAGGAGAAGCACTCTTGCCAAGTGATTCTGAGATACTTAGAATTCTTCCAGCATCTGAGTCTCCATCTCCCCCCACCCCCCAAACGGTTCTGCTAAGGCTGAGCTGCCTGCCTGCCTGCCTGCCTGAGGCAGTTCCAGTGCCTCCAGAAGGGCTCAGATGTTTCTGATCTTGAACCCAAGGAGATGCGCTTCCTTCCTCTTCCCTGACTCAGCAACCTTCTTTCCTGTTGCTGAGCCCCTGTGCTCCTGGCTCAGCTCTGCTCTGCTGACTACACAGCCCCTTGAAGACCGTGGGCCATCTTCCTGCAGGAGAAGACATGCCCTGCTGGCACTGGCTTTGTAAGCACGTTGGAGACACCGTCTAGAATCAAAGTATCTGTCTACGGTTCTGGTTTTTGCAGCTCTGTCACTTAGGAGAACCTTTGGCAGCCCTTGCAAGTTCATTACATTAAGCTAAAAGCCGTGAATATGTACATCAGAGTCCAATGTATTAGTACCAAGAACAACGAAAAGGTTTTTAAAAAAGATCACTTCGTTTGCATTTACAGGACTGAAAACTATGCAACAAATAAATTACAAATGTCCACCTCAGCAGCAGGGTAAGAGTGCTTATATATCTAGAAACACTGTGGCCACAATGACACTCCAACTGTGGGACATTACTAACCCAGAAGATGGAAAGGTCACCCTCCACCACCACCTTTCCCCTTTAGCCTCTCCCCAGCAGGAACGGAAAGGAAAGAACAGAAAACTCTGAAAGGCAGAAGAGGGGAGCGAGTAAAGGCCATGTCTGTGAGGCTGCACACTCGAAGCACACCCAGCCTGCGGACTTCGTGTTACTAGTGACTAGCTCTTTAAGGCAGAGGAGAGACATCTGTGGATCCGGTGCTGTTGGCTCATCTCACTCACGTGGTTTCAGTGGCCGGGGATGAGGTACTTTTCTTCCTGAAGCGGGATCGAAGGGTTCTAGGCGGTGCCTGGTAGAGAAAGCAGAGAAAGGGCATCCTCCATGTGGCTTGAGAGGTGGAATCTTGGGAGACGGCATCTGGGGAAGGGATACTGAGACATCCTCTCCTTTGGCCAGCTCCCCGCTAGTGGGTAGAGCTGGGGTCCCCACAACAGGAATCGGATACTAGAGTCCCACCCTTGCACCATGTAAGGTGAGACTGAGCCCCTGGGAAAGGCCATCACACCTTCCTGAGTCCAAAGGGAAGAGCTGTGCAGAATGGCATGTCTTCCTTGTTTTAAATGAGCTGAGCGAGGGACAGCTCCAGCCTTTTGCTATTTCTCTCTTTCCTCTGGAAACTGTTTTCTGGTGTATGCTTCAAACTTCCAGCCTTCATCCTGGATGGGAAACTGTTTACTACCCAGCAAGCCACCCCACAAAGACCAACACCACCTCATCTGCCTGACAATGACTGCAGGGACTATTTCTCTTAGGGGAGGCATAAACCATAGGGGGCATTACAATTGAAATAAGAAAAGGTAAGACGTTCTCCTAGGATGCCACTGAGTAGGGTTCATGGGGCTGGCCCCAACCCACTGTCCACAGCCTCAAGCTTCTCTGTGAGGACAGAGAACTTTCTCTCCACTGTACTTTCACACCACTGTCCCTTCTGACTGGAAATTCTAGTCTCCTTGAGCACCAGCTCAAAAGTCACTTGTCTAGGAGACCCCTGACTCTCTGAGCTGCCTGGCCACACACAGCCGCTGTTGCCTCCTAGTGGCCTGGGTAGTGTTGTTCATACACTTGAGATAGGTCTTTCTAAGTAGCTCAAGGTGGCCATGAGATCATTTTGTAGCCCAGCCTGGCATCACACTTGTGATCCTCCTGCTTCAGCCTCCCGGGTGAGTTGAGATTACAGATGTGCTCCACACCTGGCTAAATGTTTCTCTGTTCCCCTCCCATACTGGAGCATTGAACCCAGGGTTCAGACATTGCTAAACAAGCACTTCACCCATGAGATATATACCTCCAGCTCCCTTTCCTCCGTGTTTTGTATATGCCCACAGCAGAGGGCTTTGTACCCAGGCCCAGGGGGTGGGATAGCGCCCTTCACTGCCCACCAGACTGAAGTGAGGCCTATGTCCTCTTCACCACTATTTCATGGTGGCTGACTAGCTCAGGGCAAGGTAAGCACCCAAGTGGGGAATAGGCTCAGTGCCCACCCCCACCCCTCAGACCACAGCTTCACTGGTAGGAAAGGTTCACTACTCACTTCTGGGTGTAGACTGGGACAGCAGCCTCCCTTTTGGGGCACCTGCTTCTTGACCATTACAGTAAGCAGGGGAGCCATGTGCAAAGCTTTAAACAAAACCACAGCTAGGTGTGGTGGTGTCCTCTGTGATCACAGTACTCTGAAGGCAGAGGCAGGAGGGTCAGGAGTCCGTGGCCAGCATCCACTACAGAGGGAATCTGAGGCTAGCCTGGGCTACAGGTGAGACCCTGTCTTAAAACAAAGCAAAACAAAAAAGCAAGCACAGTCCCTTGGGCCCTGGGACAGTTAGAGTGTTAGAATGAACTCTCCCCATCACGAGGGTTCCCAGATAAGCCTAGTCCAGTACCTAGAACTAACCCCTAGCGGCTGGTTGGAGACAGCCCAGTGGTAGAATGCTTGCCCAGTATATGGGAGGCCCTGCTTTGATCCGCAGCACTGGAGAAGGGGTGGGGGAAATAATATATGAGGATATGAAATGATCCACCGTGGACAGGAACGAAGGAGCTCCTACATCTGAGGTGGCTGTAGCTTTCATCTCAGAGTGAATAAGAAAACTGGGCCTCCATGCTTGTGAAGGGGATGTTCCTGAGCATCTCATCTCATTCTCACAGGGCCCTCTCATTTTGTGACAGGAACCGTGACTTTCTCACAGTGGACCTCAGGCCAGAGAGCTCAGTAGATAGGGACAGAAAGGAACCAGATGGCTCTGTCCTGAGCCTGTGACCAGTGACTCTCCACCTGTGCCACAGAACACAGCCCACGAGTGCCAGGCATGGTCCTCCTGCTGCCAAACCCGGCTACATCCCAACTGGCCACAGTGCCAAGCACATTGTTTTCTGGTAACTTTAAAGAACTGTGGTGCTGGAGAAATGGCTCGTCTGGTGAGGGAGGCGCTTATTGCCAAGCCTGGCCTGATTTCTATCACCAGAACTGAGTTCCACACGCGCATGCGCACACACACACCCCTTGGCAGGTAGCTGGAGGCTACCTGGTGGCTTGTCCTACCTGTTTGACCGGGACGTCATTTTTTCCCCCAAGCACACTGAGAATGTGGAGCATCACAAGTGATGCCCTTCTCAGGACCCCCAGATCTCTAGGGCAAACACATGCTCCAGCCCCAGACACCATGTACCTCCAGGGGCAACTCCGTCCTCCTTGGTGCCTTATACTTGTACATGAACTCCAACAGGTCCTCCTCCTCCTCGTCAGAAAACGCCAGTGGGCTTTGGACCTGGCGGGGCTCCCATGACTTCACACCACCCTCATTCACATCTCCCTCAACCACTTAATGTCCATCTAACAGAGGAGACAAAGTACAGCGGGTGGGTGGGGGGGTCAGTGTGGAGAGGAGCAAGGGAGGGCGGGATTAGGTACACAGCACGACAAACCTGTTAGGACAGCCAGGGGCCCGCGTCTGAAGAAGTTCCACTGTTTTTACTGGGGCCAGGGAAGGTGAAGGTGTAATTGGAAGACTCGACAGTGCGGATAAACTTAACTGTAGGCGCAGACGCCACTGAACAGCTACCGGGGGGGATGGGAGGGGACGGTCCGAGACTTGCCAAGCCCTGATGCTTAGACCCATGAGTTGACCCCGAGGAGTGCTCAGGGGAGACTTTTCTGAAAACCAGAGCTGTGCTCCCGAGGAGTGGTGCCTGGCCCTCAAAATCGTATGCACAGGCGATGTTGACACTGCAGTCAGTACCCGGTGCAGGTAGCACCAGGCATTCTGTAAGGGACGGGATGTAAGATGCCAAGAGACCTCAGGGGATAACTGTAAGCTGAGCTGTGCAGGTTTTTCATGTCAAAGGACCTGGTGCTAGATAACAGAGGGCCCTCATTTGGATGCAAAATCTGAATGCACCCCCACCCCACCCCCACATGACAGGCAGCAAGATTTCAGTCTAACTTGAATGGACTACAGGCAAAGCTCCAGAATTCGCTTGGCCCACTGAATGCAGCCATGTTACTGAGCCAGGACGTCCTCGCTCAGTTAGTATGTAAATGATCCTCTCCCACACCCAGTCTATCTGGCATCCACAGACACGGCTTTCTATCCTTTGTTGTCATCACCCAGCGTCACAGAAGGCAGAGCTAGAAGGCCCACGGCTCGCCTGGCTCCACCACTCTGACGCCTGCAGACGGAAACCTGAGCTCTTTCTGGGATACTCTGCTGCTGCTCCTAAAATCATATTCAGCCACAGAACTGGCTCCATCTGTCAGCAGCAGAGGGCTGGTGGGTCTGTAACCGCAGCCGGTATGAAGCCAGCAACTATGAGCTTTCCCAGTTTCCACCGCTGTGCCCCACGGCAGCCAGCAGAGGGCAGCAGGAGAACACGGCTGCCTTCCGCGGGCCTTGCAGAGCGGAGCAGTGGGTGGAGAGCCGGCTGCTCGGGCGGTGCCCTGTCGGCCTGACATCATAAACTGGCCTTTCCTTCACTCTGCGCTTCTCTTGCTCTGTTGACTCCAAGTTCCGTTGTTTCCTGGTCCCTCCACCGCCTAAATCAGCGTGTTGAACTCGAGGACAGTAACTCCATGACACTTCCTGCACACTCTGGCCCTCCAGGGCCTCGCTGCTCTGGGCCCCCAGTAACGCTCATGGTCTGCACCCTGCAGCCCCTGCCCCACATGCCCGGGTTCTCTGTCAGCCACACTGTCTGAGCTCAGCAGAAGGCCCCCTGAGGTTGTGGGGTTGTGGCCGCTCATCCCTCACATTGCCTGAGGATCTGAGGAAGGCCCGGCATTCAGCCAGTACTGCCACGCCGCCAATGCGCTAAATGGAAGCCTGTTGCCAGCTCAGAGAACTCAGCTCTCCTCTGCACTGGAGCATGACACTCGCTAACCAGGACATTCCTCCAGATTCCTCCTTCCTGGGAGGAAGAATGAGGGCCAGGCCTACCCACCACCCAAAGCTCCCAGGCCAAGGTAGACATGCAGAAGCATCCTGGCCAGCCCCGCCCAGCAAATAACTGCATCCTGAGGATGGGGTTGAGTACTGGCTGAGGTTAGGCCTCTGAACAGGTGTGTGCTGCTCCCCTTAAACCCTGTTTCCGGGAATTCTCCTGTACCAGTCGTCATGGGCATCAGAAGATAACCCAGGGACACAGCAGGATCCTTGGGTATCTAATTACTCAGTCCACCCACCAGAATGCACTGAGGCTGAGCATCCAAACCACACATTAACCACAATAATAATAAGCACCTCGTAAGCTGGGCATGGATGCCGGTAATCCTAACAATTGCTATGGGTTAGCCTGGGCCACACAGTGAGTTCCAGGCCAGTCTGGGTTACAGCGTGGGGTCCCTGTCTCAGGCACAAAGCAAAAACAAAAAACAAAAAACCAAATGCCCATCTCAGTAATGAAACTGTTTAACAGGGCTTTGCACGTGCTCTTCGTGGCAACCTTGACAAGAAGTGATCCTGTGACCCCTAGGAGTGGAGGACATTCCAGATACACAGGCAGGAGTAGAAGCCAGACCTGATCTGGGCAGAGGCTGGGAGCCGCGGAGGCCAGTGTGGGCTGCTGGGGGACAGAAATGGCTTCACATGGAGGTGACACAGAACCCTCCTGAAAGCCAGCCCCAACTGTTAGGACGGTCCTGGACGTCTGTCACCCGTGTTGCTGGTAGTTATTTAGAGCGCCGGGAATCAAATCCAGGGCTCTGCACCTGCCAGGCAGGTGCCCGACCACTAAGCTGAGTCCTTAGTGCCCTGTTTGTATATTGTCTCCCTCTCAGGACAGGAAATAAGCGAGGACAAG